GACGACTGGGTCGAGGCCGACGCCGCCCATCCGCTGCGGGTCCTTCACGACGCTGAAAGCGGTGAGCCGGCTCCCTATATCCTGGTGCGGGACGGTCTGGAGGCGCGGCTGGCACGCGCCGTCTTCTACCATCTGGTGGAGCTGGCGGTGCCCCAACGAGACGAAGAGGGACGGGAACGCCTCGGCGTATGGAGCAACGGCAATTTCTTTCCGCTGGACCCCCCGTCCGGCCGCTGACCGGCGAGGCGGTGGAGCGTCGGCTGCGCGCCGCCGCGCCCGGACGCCGCTCCGCGCTGACGCTGCAGCCCGAGGGCACGCGCGGCGACCACGAGCTGAACCCCGACCTCTACGATCCGGAGCGGCCGATGAAGGCCGCCGCCGTTCTCGTGCCGCTGGTCGAGCGCGCGGCCGGCCTCAACGTGCTGCTGACCCGGCGTACCGCGCATCTGCGCGACCATGCCGGTCAGATCGCCTTTCCCGGCGGCCGCCTGGAGCCGCAAGACGCCGACGCGCTGGCCTGTGCGCTGCGCGAAAGCGAGGAGGAGGTCGGCCTGCAGCGCGACCTCGTGACGCCGATCGGGCAGCTCGACGTCTACGTCACCCGCACCGGCTTCGAGGTCACGCCCGTCGTTGGGCGGATCGCCGCGCCGCTGGAGCTGACGCCCGATCCCTTCGAGGTGGCCGAAGCCTTCGAGGTGCCGCTGGCCTTCTTCCTGGACCCGGCGAACCGCGAGGTCCAGAGCCGCGTTTACCAGGGCAAGACCCGGCACTTCTACGTCTATCCCTACCGCGACTACTACATCTGGGGCGCGACGGCCGGCATGCTGAACAACCTGGTCGAGGTGATGGGGACATGACGGCAGATCCGCGGAGCGCTCGAGGGCTGTTCGGAGGTCCTGGCCCCTCGGGTCCGGGTCGAGAGGTCGGACCGGGCGGCCCGGGTCAGAATTCACGACGACCGGTCGGTCCCGAGCCGAGCGGTGCGGAGACGAGAGACAGGCCGGTGTCGAGAGAGGGAGCTACCAGGCGGATGACCGCATGTTGAAGAAGCTGATCACCATTGTCCTGCCCTTCCTGCTTCCCTTTCTGCTTTATGCCATCTACGCCGGAATGCAGCGGCTGTCGCGGCGGCAGGAGGCGGCGACGGGCCGGGCTCCGACCTGGAGCGGCGCGACCGTCGGCTGGCTGTCGCTGGCGGGGGCGCTGATGGTCGCGGCCACGCTGATCACCTTCCGCTTCGTCGGGTCTCCGGCCTTCCTGGAGCCGGCACCGACGGCCCTGCAGGCGCCGCCGACCTCCTTCCCGTCGGAGGCCCGCTGATCCGCTACTTCGGCGGGGTCATGGAGATGCCGCGTCCGGCCTGAGGCGGGCGCGGCAGGTCCTTATGGGCCTGCCAGACCTCCTCCACCCGCGCGGCCACCTCTGGCGCCATGGGCGCGGCGCGGCGGGTCTTGAGGTCCACGTGCAGGCTCATCCATTCCACCGTGGCGGCCAGGAACCTTTCCTCGGCGTGGTACATGCGCAGAAAGATGTTCAGCTTCTTCGGGTCCCAGCCAAGCAGCTGCAGCGTCACGACGATCGGCGCGTCCGGCAGCAGCTCCCGCAGGTAGCTGACATGGGCCTCGACCGAAAAGATCGTGCCGCCGCTGCTCTCCCGGTAGGCGGCGTCGATACCGATCCGGTCCATGAAGAGGTCGAAGGCCTGATCGAAGGCCACGACGTAGTAGCCGACGTTCATGTGGCCGTTGTAGTCGAGCCACTCCGGCTGAACAGAGGTGCGCTGCAGCTCGAGGGCCGCGTCGAAGGACATGGCTGGATCTCCGGGAAAATCTGGATGGCAGAGCTTGGGGGCAAGAGAGCTTGAGGGCTTATAGCAGGTCCGCGCTCGATCGGCTCAACCGAGACGTCTCGCGCCGGTTCAGGCGTCTGCGGGCCTAGCCTTGCTTCAACTCGGCAGCCGTCCGACGGCCGACGGAGACCAGCGCCGTGACCATCGGCCGGCGGTCCAGGCTACGCCAGACGAGGCTCGTCCCCAGGTCGATGCCGATCGCAGAGCCGCCCGGGTCCGCCTCGCCGTTTTCGGCGAAGCTCGGGCCGACAAGGCTCAAGAAGCTCCGCGGCACGATGCAGGGGCCGTAGCCGGCTCGCGAGAGCACGAGGGCGCCCAAGGCCGTGTCGACCTCGACGGTCGCCTCGAAACTGGCGCGATTCGGGGTCTTGCGGTCGATCTCCGCGACCAGGACCGGGGCATCCTGCCGCGTGTAGCGAACGACCGGGGGCCGCTCGCCGGGCTGGGGCCGGGCGTCGTATTCGACGAGGCTCTGCAGGGTCAGCGGCTGCTCGGACAGACTGGGCTGATGAACGGGCGGATGCAGGAAGGCCGCGTCGATCAGATTCTGTTCCACCTCGGCCTCCAATCGTGCCGTGGAGCCCTCGGTCAGGCGGATGCGGGCATAGGGATGCTCCCGGCGGAAGGCATCGAGCAGCGGGACGACGACCTGCAGCGCGGCGATCTGGGTCATGCCCAGCCGCAGGGTCTGCCCGAGGCCTTGGGCGGCACCGCGCGCTCTGTCGGCAGCCTCTTCGGACAGGTCGAGAATCCGTCGCGCTGACTCCGTGAAGGAGACTCCTGCGGCGGTCGGTTCGACGCCGCCCCGCCCGCGCTGGAACAGCCTGACTCCAAGGTGGGTCTCGATCCGCCGCAGCCGCGACGTCAAGGCGGGCTGCGTGACGCCAAGCAGACCCGCCGCCCGGACGAAGTGCCGTTCCTCGTACAGCGCCACGACGCAGCGATAGTCCGCGAGAGAGAGCATTCGATAAACATAATTTATCGAAACTATCGATCAAGCACCTGGAAGGGTGGGGCCACACGATCATCTCTACGTCGGTTTTCGACAGTCAGGGAGGGTTTCGCGTGCTTCGGCTTCTATCGATGAGGGTTCAGGCCACGAGAGTTCTGGCGGCAGCCCTGGCAGGCCTCGCCGTCAGTGCATCCGCAGGGGCGCAGCCGCCGCCGAACTTCGAAGGGCGCTATATCGCCGCCATCTCGGACGGCGACATGCGCGCCTACGCCTACATCGACGGGCTGATCGGCGAAAAGCGCGGGCCCGATGAACTTGCGATGATCGGCTTGCCGCTCGAAGGAGCCGGGCTCACCGGTCGGATCGGCGTCTCCAATTCCGTTATCAATCCGGTCTACTCGATTGCGGCTTCGCCCGACGGGAACACGATCTTCGTTGCGGAAACCCATACGGCGCAGGAAGCGGGCGACCGCCTGATCGGCGATCTGCAACCCGGCACGACGCTGCGTGCCATCGACGTGAGCGACGTGGCGCAGCCGCGCCTCCTGGATCAGGTCGAGGTCGGCACGCGCCCCTTGGGTGTCTCCGTCAGTCCGGACGGACAAACGCTGGTGCTCGCAACGCGGACGCCGGGTCGCCCGCTGACCTTCGTCAGCTATCGAGACGGCGGCTTTGGCGAGGCCCGGCAGTTCGCTCTCGAGAACGTCTCGCCGATGATGGAACTGCCGGATCTGGGACAGATGCCACATCACGCCGAATGGCACCCGAGCGAGGATGTCGTGGCGGTAACGCTCAATCTGCGCAACCAGGTGCAGTTCTACCGCGTCTCGCGCGACGCCGACGGAAACGTCGAGGAGGTGACCCAGTGGGGCAACTCGGTCGCCACCGCGAAGTGGCCGATGTCGGGCAAGTTCTCGCGGGACGGCAGGTTCTTCGTGTCGAACGATCTCCAGTGGGGCCCAGACGTCGGTCCGGACGGCAACGGAAGCTATGCCCCGCCATCGCAGCTGACGGCGATCCGCCTGGCCGACTTCGGTGCGGCGGCACCGCGCCACTACGTCATGGGCGGTGTCAGCGTGCCCCAGCATGCCGAAAGTCTCGCCTTCTCGAACGACGGCACGATGATCGTGACGCTCAATCTCGGTCAGACCTGGATCCCCGAAGGTGAGCCCGATCATTCGCTGTCGAGTCTGAGCCTGGTGACCTTCGACGTCGAGACCGGCCTGATGCGGCATGCCGGAGACTGGGAGATGGCAGGCATCCTGCCGGAAGGCGTCGCCTTCGATGCCTCCGACAACTACGTCGTCGCCGGCGTCTTCGAGTACGACGGGCCGGAACCGCGTGCGAGCGCGCTGGAGTTCTGGAGCGTGAAGCGCGAGGCGGATCGTCTGCCACGGCTGGTGCCGACAGGATTCACTGTCGAGACCGGCCCCGGTGCCCATTCCCTGATCGTGGTGAACGACTAAGCCATCCGCGGATGGCGACCGGCCATACTTCTTCTTGAGTTCACAGGAGATCCTCCATGCGACAGATCCTGCTTTCGGCTCTCTTCCTCACAAGTCTGTCTGCCTTCGCGATGGCGGACGATCTGCAGTCCTTGAGCAGCGGTTTCGACGGGCCGGATGACCTGGCGGCCTGGTCGGAGCATCTGCCGGCCGGCTTTACCCGGAAGTGGCGGGAGCCCCGGGTCGAGGACGGACGGCTGGTCCTGCAGCCCTTGTCCTCGGGCTGGTTCGAGGACAATCAGGCGGGGCACCTCTTCCACCCGGTGGCTGGCGATTTCATCGCGACCACGCGGCTCGAGGTGACGGGGACGGACGCGGCGCTGCCGCAGACGCCCTTTTCGCTCGCCGGCCTCTTCGTGCGCGCGCCGCGCAGCGTCTCGGCGGACGGCTGGGTGCCGGGTCAGGAGAACTGGCTGTTCTTCTCCATCGGAACGGCGGCGCCGGCTGGCCAGCCGCACTACGAGATCAAGACCACGACCAACTCTCTCTCCACCCTGAAGATCCTGCCCTCGCCAACCGGGCCGGTCGACCTGCGGATCGCGCGGCAGGGCGAGCTCTTCACGCTGCTTGCGCGCGTACCGGACGGCGCGTGGGAGGTGGTGGAGCAGATCATCCGGCCAGACCTGCCGGAATCCCTGAACGTCGGGCTCACGGCCTACTCCGACTACGGTTCGGTGGCACCGATCTACCCCGACTTCCAGCGCTACAACACGGAAGGCGCGGTGGAAGAGAAGGCCGACCTGATCGCCTATGTGGACAGCTTCGCGCTGCGCCGTCCGGCCACCGGCCGCATCCCTGTCGCCAACCTCGACGCGCCCGAAATCCTGGAGGCGATCGCCACGCGCCGCGCCGATTTGCTGTCGGACTGAACGGAACGCGGTTGCTTGCGCGCCGCCGGGCTCAGGCCGCGGCGATCACCTCGATCTCCACGAGCCAGTCGTCCTCCAGCGTTTGCACCACGATGGCGGTGGTGGGAACGCGGCGCCCGTCGAGCGCCCGCAGCCGGGCGGCCTGATTGGCCTCCCTGAAGGCGGGGTCCCGCAGGTAGCTGGTCAGGCGCACGATGTTGTCCGTCGTCATCTCGGCCTCGGCCAGGATGCGGCGGAGATTCGACCAGATCAGCGCGAGCTGGGCGTCCAGACCCTCCGGCGCCCGGCCCTCGGCGTCGAGCCCCATGGTGCCGCTGACGAAGAGCAGTCGGTTCGCCCCCCGGACCTCAAGTGCGTGCAGATAGTCGTCGGCGGGGTAGAGGCCGTCCGTCGGGTTTCTCGGTGTCGTTTGCATAGTGAAGATCCTTTCGCCATTCTCGATAAATCAGCTGATCTGCTTGGCGAAAGGTCAATTTCGATTGATAAATGAGGAAACAGAATATCTTCGGCCGAACGGCAGGTCGGCGCGGCCCTTGGATGCCTTCGACCGAAGGATCTTGGCCGCGCTGACCGAAGACGCGCGCCTGACCTACGCGGAAGTCGGCCGGCGCGCCGGCCTCTCCGCGCCGGCGGTCCATGAGCGGGTGAGGCGCCTCAGGGCCTCGGGCGCCCTGGCCGGCACGACGACCCGAATCGACGGCCCCTCGGTCGGCAAGCCCTTCCTGGCTTTCGTTCATGTCGACGCGGACGGCTGGGGCAAGAGCCAGCGGATGATGCGGTTGGCGCGCTTCCCCGAGGTGGAGGAGATGCATTCGGTCGCCGGCGACACCTGCGTCATCCTGAAGGTGCGCACCGCCTCCGCCCGTGACCTGGAGGCCTTTCTCTCGCAGCTCTACGTCTTGCCGGGCGTCCGGGGCACGCGCAGCTTCGTCGTGCTCTCGACCTATCTGGAGCGTCCGGTGCAGGCGGAGGTCACCTCGGCCTGGCCGGACGTCCCTCTGCCGCCTGAGTGACGCGGTGTTGGGTCGCGATTCCCGATCTCATCTGCCGCCTGTGCCTGAGGCGATCCTGCTAGAGGTGTTTGCCGAAGAAGGCGAGCGCGAGACGGTTGAAGGCGGAGGGATTGTCCAGGTTTGCAGCATGACCGGCCTCTGGAACGACGGCCAGTTCGCTCGTTCCAGTCTGGCGGTGCCAGACCGCGGCCGCCTTCGGAATAAGGTCGAGGCGATCTCGATCGCCGTAACAGATCAAGATCGGATGCGAGATCGCGTAGCCGACGTCTTGGTCGCTGTCATCTTGATGGACGGCAAGAGCTATGGCCTTGGCGATCGCCCTGACGTCTTTCGCGGTTAGCGGCGCCGCCATCTTCACGAGCCTGGCCTGAGCCTGCTTCGTGAATGCCGACCTTTCCATCGCTTGTTTCTTGAATAGGTCGGTCGGTATGAGGGCGACGATCGGCGGCATGATTCGGAGCAGGAAACGTTCCAGAGGCGACAGCGAGATCTTGCTGCTGGTACAGCCCAGCAGAATCGCTGCGCTCACCCGTTCGGGGGCCTTGAAGATCACCTCTTGGCTGACGTAGCCGCCCATCGACTGTCCGAGCAGNNGCCACTTTCTCCTCGCCCAGATGATCGAGCAGGCCGATCAGATCGTCGGCAGCCTGGCGCGGGGTGAAGGGGCGTCCATAGGGCCGCGAACGGCCATGGCCACGCGGGTCCCAGGCGAGCAAACGGTAGTCTTCCGAAAGTGCGGATATCTGCTCTTCGAATAGCGAGTGATCGGTGAAGGCGCCGGGCAACAAGACAACTAGCGGCGCTCCTTCAGGACCCGCCGTCCAGAAATGGATATCGCAGTCGCCGGCGTCGTAGAGCCCATGATTCATGAACAACTGTCTAGAGCAAGATCGCCTCGGGCGAAATCGCTGGGGCAATTCCACCCGAGGTATGAATCCCAATCTCGCAACAAGTTCAGAGCGACGCCTCTGGACGACAAGGTCGGCGATGTCTCCTGGAGGTGTGCGGCCAACCAGAGATGACAGCACGGCTCCATTGGCCGCGCGCGGCAAACGGGGTAGCGTCGCTGGCGTCTTCGTCTTCCTCTGCCACCTCACGAGTCTTATGCGTCTGTTGGCTTTTCTCGGCGGCCACGGCCCCAAGGTGCTGTTTCTCGGCGTCTTCATCGGTCTGGCCCTGCCCGATCTCGCGTCCCTGGCACGGCCTTTGGTCGGGCCGGCTGTGGCGACGCTGCTGGTGCTGACGCTGCTGCGGGTCGAATGGCACCAGATGGCCGCTACCCTGCGCCGGCCGGGCCTGCTGGCGCTTCTGGTGGTCTGGCTGATGCTGATCTCGCCGGTCGCTACCTGGGCCGTTCTGTCCCTGTTGCCGGGGCCGCAGCCGCTGGAGATCGCCCTGGTGCTGATGGCGGCGGCTCCGCCGATCCTAGGGGTTACGGCTATCGCGATCCTGCTGGGGCTCGACGGGGCTCTGGCGCTGGTGATGGCACTGGCGGCGACGCTGCTGACGCCGGTCACCGTGCCGTTGCTGTCGCTCTGGCTGCTGGGGCTGGAACTGGAGGTCAGCATCGCCGGCTTCATGCTGCGTCTGGCGCTGGTCGTGCTGGGGGCCTTCGCCTTCGCGGCCCTGCTGCGCCGGCTGGCCGGCCCCGACTGGTTCCGCGCCCGGGCGGCATCTCTCGACGGTCTGGTGATGCTCGTGATGCTCGTCTTCGCCGTGGCGATCATGGACGGGGTGACGGCGACGATTTTCGCGCGGCCGGAGGTGGTGGCGCTCTGGATCTTCGCGGCCTTTGTCGCGAACCCCCTGTTGCAGCTGGCCGCCGTGCTCGCCTTCTGGTGGCAGGGACCCCGCCGGGCGCTGACCATCGGCCTGATGTCGGGAAACTGTAACATGGGGCTGCTGCTGGCAGCGCTCCCACCGCAGGCCGACTACGACGTCGTGCTGTTCTTCGCGCTGGCCCAGTTGCCTATGTATATGCTGCCTTTTGCCTTGACCCCCCTCTACCGCCGGCTACTTCTTTCGGTTGAGCGTCAATAGAGGTGAACCCGGTATGGTCTGCAGGGACAGCGGAATTTCTGCAGGCAAAGCTGCAACACTCTGTGAAAGCTGAGTCTTTTGTCGGGTCCGCTTATGGTCTTTTGCCCGCAGGTGTGCTAGCAGCAGAAGATCGCTTCTCAGGCGAGGGTTCGTTCGCGAACCACTTGTTAAGGCCTGACGGCTAGCGTGAGCGAAAGGTGGCCGTAAGGTTGTTCGGCAAAGGTCTTTGGGGGGAACCCCGGTAAAGGTGTCGGATCGGGAGTCGGGTCTCGATTCGCGGGTCTGTTACATGACAGTGTCTTCGACACGGCAGGGTCACGGATCGCTCGAGACGGACGGCCGCGCCGGAGATGTCGATAGCAGGAACAAGACGGGGCGCAATGTTGACTAGGGCTGTCTCGCGGGCTTCGGACCGCTTCACGAAGAGCATGTCTTCCTTCGGATCCGGCTTGAGAGCCGGGCTGCGACCCGCTGCAGGGCCGCTGCTGGGCCTCGCCGTGCTGAGCGGCTGCGCCTGGGCACCCGGGCTGGAGGACACCAACGGCTACGCACAGGCGCCGAGCCGGTCGTTTCAGCTCGCCGCCATGGCGGACGGCGAATACATCGCCAGCGATATCGCCGACGTGGCCGATGTCGGCACGGGCGAGTTCGTATCGGCCGGCGATCCCTTGGAAGTGTTCAACCGCTTCGTGTTCGCGATCAACGACACGCTCGACATCTTCATATTCAAGCCGATTGCGGTCACCTACCGCCGCTGGACGCCGGACCTGCTGCAGGAGGCGGTGAGCAACTTCGTCACCAACCTGAGCGAGCCGGTGACCTTCGCGAACTCTCTGTTCCAGGGCGACTGGGAGCATGCCGAGACGACCGGCAGTCGCTTCCTGATCAACAGCGCGATCGG